ACAGAGGAGGAGGATCACCTCCTTGGACCTGCTTGAGATGCATCTGTGGATGCATGACAAGGTGTGGTTGGCCTTCCTGACCGTGTCCCCACACTGTCAGCCCATGTTCATTTTGGCATCAATAATGATTCCAAAATCCTTTTCTGCCTCTGCACTGACAAGAAGGGAGTTCCCCAGCCTGTAGGTGTGCTGCTGGTTCTTCCTCCCCAGGTGCAGTACCTTGCACTTGTCAGTGTTGAAACCCATCCTGTTCTCATCTGTCTACCCCTGTAACCTGTCTAGGTCCAATTGCAGCCTGTTCCTCCCTTCTAGCGTGCTCACATCACCCCACATCTTAGTGTCATCAGCAAATTTGAATAGGGTGCTTTTTATACTGCCATCCAAGTCACTGATGAAGATGTTGAACAGCGCTGGTCCGAGGACCGATATGCATCTCAAATCATGAGAAGAAGCTGGATTGCTTTGTTACTACATAATCCAGATCACCAACTTGCTTAAAGAACTATTAAACTCAGTTTTGTATCCCTTCATATTTAACTTGAAAAATAAGGATATTTATTGCCTTTGCAAATGTAAAAAAAAAAAAAAAAAAAAAAGAGCAACTGCAGTCCAATTCATTATTTGAGTAGGAGACTGAATCAATAAGGAGCAAAGCAATCATCTTCAGCACCCTGGATTTTTTAATCCTTTTTTTTTTTTTGGTGAGAACATTTATAAAAACAATATTGGTAATCAATACTTAACAAATCAGGCTCTCTTCTAATCTCATCTATATTCTCATATTTGCTACTCTAATAAATTTTCTCCCCCCCCCCCCCCAATAAAGTGACCAACTTTAAATATATGGACCATCACTTACTTTTTATGTAGACTTGCGAAGACTAACTACATGACTAAACATTTTTCAGTAAGGTCTGCTATATGTACTTGACCAGATGTATTGCTCCAAGACTGGTGACCCAGAAATCATGGTCAATATCTTATGCCCATTTAACCAACAAAAACCATGCCTAAAAAAGATCTCCATGTGATAGCAGGCCACTGAAGATGGTTAATTTTGCTATGTTCTATCTGATATAAATCTGTGGTAAAAAGCTGCTGACTGACCTCACTGACCACATGTGACCCTTTACATATGATAAATTGGAGCAAAGATATTGTATCAGTCATTTATTCTGCAACATCTAATTAACTGACTAATTAAGGTATGTCTCAAAAGAGGAGTACTCCCCCAAATTATATTTAACAGCATTTTATCCAAGGTTCACACTGAAACTACCACTATTACAGATCAGTTGCAGCCTTTGTGGTACCTTACCCAGTCCAGTTCACATTAGCTGCAATGTATTCCTAGGCAAAAGTGAAAGACTAGCAATTTGAATCATTCCATTCTAATTAATCAATTGTTTAATTAATTTGGCTTTAATTATGGTATTCAGGACATAAGCACTTACAGTGCATACCACGAATGCTAAATGCTTTAGCCTGATTTATGAATACATCACATTTATCTGTCATAAACCTATAGTTTTGATTTTTTGCCTTGTGAAGAATGCATGAACAGTAGCTGATTGCTGTCTGCCGTGAATAACTTGTAATCACACAAAAACTCCATCCTTAACACTAATAAAAAATTCTCTTTTCTTCAGACAATTGAGGGCAGGTGAAATACTTTCAAAACCTTGAGGCTACAAGATATATATATGCCATCCTGATTAAACATATGGAATGCATACTCAAAGAAAAGCCAACTGGAGTCCTACTTGAGTAATCAAAACACCCAAGCTGAGAGGGGTTAACATGCAAGGATCAGCTCTGAACTTTGAAGTTTTCTGGTCTTCATTTTTCCTAATTAAGACAAGATTTAATAACCAAACCACTGTAAAAACTATGTAATTAAACTTCATGTTTGTTTCTAATTTTGTTGGGAATTCTCAGCAGAATCCAAGAAATCAGTGCCCCATAGGAGAAGTTCACCAGTGAAGTGGATTGATCCATTCTCTGATATATAAGAATTACACTCCTGCTTTTCATTTTTCCCCCCCTTCCACATGATTGGCTCCCAGGTATGTATGACTGTCAAATAATCCTCAAATAAGACACAAAAAAGAAAGATGCAATGAATCACATGTGTCAGAGTTATCCAACAAAGTGTTACAAACATCTATTTCACTCCAACTTAAAAATGAATTCGGTACAATCAGTAAGTTTGAAGAATGTGTTCTGAAAAATGCAGGAGAAAATTCTTCATTAGTCCTCAGGGATCAGATTATTCCAGTACTCACACAGCTCAGTATTAGAGTATGCAGACCAGCAATCTTCATGGCTACAACCTACATCTTGTGGAAGTTCTGGATACTGTTTTTGTAAAATTATACTTTCTGATTATAAATACAGTCAGATTCTATGGCCCTTTATTTATAGTGGGAGACTTGCTGGTTTCTCACAGAGTAAGATGTTATTCTACACAAGAAAGCAAAACCGGGCTTTGGTTTCACTAATGCAGGGGTTGTCAACCAGGGGTACTTGAGATGGCCCTAGGGGATACACCTGGGCAAACGAGGAAGGAGCACCACCATGCAACACCCTGCCCAGCGCCGCCTGCCCGGCTGGATGCAGAGGGAGCTCACACATGGTAGCTGCCGCTGCTCCACATCTGGCCATGCGCCACCCCTCCACCCCCCACCTTGGTGGCTGGGGGTATACTGCTTCGCATCTGGCCAATGGGGGTACAATGATCTAAAAAGGTTGAAAACCCCTGCACTCATGGCAATAGCTATTTCTCTTCTAACTTATGCCTTTGGTATTAATTTTTACCTTGACACACAGAAAGTTTGCTTTCATGTTACTAATCAATTTTATATGGGATTTCAGTATGGAAATTTGAAATAAATTCAATTAGGAGATTGGTTCTGGAGAACTATGAATGTATTGCTCATCATCAAATAGCGAGTAAGCTTAAAATATGAAGCTACACAGAACCAACACTGGAAATGACAGAATCGACACAGGAAACAGAAAATGAAATGCCGGTAAATCAGCTACAATTTCAACACTCTATAAGGAATTGCTTATCTATTCAATAGGCAACTAATTCAAAATGATAGTTTAAAACTGCAAAAGCACATGACTGCTGTTACATTCCTGTCCATGGAATCAACTTTGGACAATCTTCAGGAAAGATAAAAATGAGAGGTTTATACTAATTCACATGGGCACTCAGTGTGTGTTCTATAATGTGTGCAGGAGGGGATGCCCATTTGTTCAGGTATCGCATTCACTGAATACTCCAACTATCTTTGCTTCTGATGTTTTACCTTTAATAAGAAGGCATTTGTTTGGGAACTCACTTTATTCATGTGGATCTGCTGCTGGTACTGTTTTTGCTTCTCCAAAAACTGCTGGTGCTGCTGCTGAATGACCAGCTGGGCCAATGTACTTTGAGGCAGAGGAGCTGACTGGGTTCGATTCAGTGGTCTATGACGAGGCAACTTGTGGGCAGCCCTTGTACCGGGTGAGACTCTCTCCTTTGTTGCTAAAGGAGACTGTGGATGGAGAGGAACCCCTCCTGCAAAACAACAACATTTCACTCAGATGTGAGGACTGCTAAGATTCAGGAAGCTCAAAACAGAGAAGAAATGCTTCAGGAAAAAGGCAGGCAGAGGCTCAGAAAACCTGATGTACTGCAGAACATCACAGTAGCATAAATAACATGGATCTCCTATCACATGCCCTGCCATAATAAGAAGTTTAACAGCACTAAAAGAATAATTTGGGTTTCCAAGTTACATCAAGTTACATTTGGAAGCCGGAGGGGAAGATTGAAGCACATTGAAATCTTGATAATTACCAGTCACAAGAAGCTTCTGTTGTCTCATTTGTTCTTTCAATAACAAATGTTGCAGGAGAGCCTGGTGGCTGCTGTTAGGCTTTCCCTCTAGAGCAACATGAGGATGAGCTGAAGATGGAGGGATGCTTCCTCCGTACTGTGCAGGCAGAGTCACTCCCTGCCTGAGTGTCTGTGTCTCACACTTCTGTTTTTCTTTGAGTGAAGATGAAGCCTGTGCCAAGAAACAACAGACATAGTTACTGCTCTTCACTGACTTAGACAATCAGATTACTACATAATTAGACAGGCCAGCAATTGACAAGGATGGAAATCTCTATCTTACCCCGTGCCTGTGGGCTGAAAATAGAGAAAAAAAAAATCTCTTAATCTTAAACAGGTAGGAAAACTAAACAATGGAACTACTTGAGGACAGTACAGAAGAGATGGTGATACATAGGGAACCTGCAATACAAACGTTATTCACAAGTGTTACTGTTTGAGTGATATGCCCAACCACAAAGTTGGTTCAATGAAAGATGTCACCCATTAAAATCCTTGCATCTTGCACTGTTCACAAGAGGCAAGATTTCAATGTGCTCTTAAAAAACTGTGCATCTGAATAAGACTTCTTCCAGGATCCTTTGTATCCCACACAGACTCACATTTCCAGCAGGGAAGGCTGGGGGGGTGGCAGGAGGAGTGGGGTTGCAAAACTTTCCTGTGGAGCAGATGATCCTTGGCTTTCCACACAACCATCCCTCATGCAGCACACCAATCAGAAAACTGAGTCAATACTGAATGTGAGAAGTTAACCATGCTTGGGAAAAAGTTGGTGCTCAATGGTTCCCTTGGAATAAATCCCTTCCAGGGCTGCTCCTGGGACAGTGCAATTGTGCACTGTACATCATCAGGATGGATTTATGAAGCCAAATTTCAAGTCAATGGGAGATGGTAGACGTTTGGTACTTTAAAGGCCCCTGGCTTAACCACCCGAAGGCCTGATTTTATATATCCAATTTTGAAAATCTTGGCCCATTAGAAATGAAGGTCTGCCTTAGTTGTCTGTGTTCAAGCTAACAGTTTTACTGAAAATATAAAGTAGATTTTATGTATTGATTAGAGTAATAATACAAGGAATAGCAGCAATAAATGTAGTAGTGTTAGAGTGATGTATCTGTGACAGTCCAGGAAATATGTAAGAGGCAAGGATTTTTGTGGGTGATATCTTGTATTTGACCAACTGCATTTTTGGGAATCGACTTAGGCAAGTTTCCAAATGCAGTCTTCTTCAGGTGCGAGGGAAAATGGGTACAGCGAAAGAATTGGTTTTAATATTAATTCCCCTGTGCCTGCTTTCTCCTTAGACTGCATTTGAAAGCTTGTCTCAGTTTATGCCAACCATGCAGTTGATCCAATAAAAGATATCACCCATGAAAATCCTTGCCGCTCAGTAATAAATATTTTATTCAGACTTCCAAGTTGTGCCTGGTTACCATTCACGTTCTGTCATGGCAAAAAAAAAAAGCCCTATCCTTTAATGATCTGAATTCCAGATGTTTTAAAGAGGCACGCTCTAACTGGTTTTCATTAAAACTTCATGTGCATAACCTTCCTTCACACCCTGCTACTGCCCTTTTCCCATGAAAAACAAATACCAATTAAAATCAAATTTCATTGGCTTATTCTAGCAACTGCTATAAATGTTACCTTGCAAAAATTACACACTGGACTTGTTCAGATACCAAAAACAGCATTTGGCAATAACTGACCACAGTTGAAGATTACACGGGGCATTGTTTGTAATTAAAGGGCATTCTTATTTCTTTAAATTTTTTAATATTATAAGATACTTAGACATTACTTACATCTTGCTGGCAGTTAGGTAAGTCACTTTGAAAGGAAAAACTGTTCAAAGGTGGTATATTATTTAGTATTACTTGCAACACGTTTAACTCTGAGGCTAAAATTGGATGTCGTCTCTGTGGCAGGATTAGCTATGCTGGGATGTGTCCCGGCATAGTTGATGTGATATATGGGCAGAGACGGGCATCACCTGGGGCCACTGGGGCCTGCTCCTGAGGGACGGGACAAAGGCCCTGAGTTCCACGTCCTGGTCCGGGGCATACATTTGCTGATGTGAAGAGAGAAACCCCAAACCTACAGACATGCAGCCTAGGTGGGGGCCAGGTGCTCCTGAGACTTCAGAGACCCGATTCTGCAGGACAGTGGTCCCGGTTGCCGGACACTGACACAAGGGTATGCATCTGCAGGTGCAAAATGGGGAAACCCTTGGGTTTCCATGCTCCATCCTTCAAACACAAGCCTTGGGAATTTCCGTGGTGCATGGATGCATACATGGAGTAGGGGTTTAGGTTGTAGCCGTGTTGGTCTAAGGACACAGGCACCTTGTCTACATGGAGTAGGGAAACCCATGGGCCCTGCTCCACATGTGCAGACCCCATGTTGTGGCCAGGTACCTGGGGCTATTGCACTGTGGCATCAGGCCTCTGAACACCTGCTTTGGCAGCTGGAAAGCATAGGCAGCTCCAGCCTACCCATGCTCTTGCACCATAAATGAACAGACATCTGCCACAAAAGGGAGGCACAAAATATTACTAAAAATTTGCACACCCAATTTTGGGGCATTTGGGGTTTAACAAGGGGCCTGGAGATCTGCTAGCTTGGGTTGTGTGCTACTATTAAAAAAAATGTATAGTGGCACATGGGCAAAGTCTATTTGCAGTCTTCTTCACAAATAACAATTTGGTTACGTACATCAGGTGTAAGGTTTGTAGAGAATGTATTTAGTGCTTACAAAATGTTCTTGTTCTCCTGATGTTAGATTTTTAAAAAAATTATGAACTTTCCCATTCAGAAGTGACCTGGATAACAGCAATATTTCTCTAGAAAGGACATTATATTATAGTAAAAAAGACTAGAAATGACATGAAAATTTCAATACTAAATCTCATTCAAGTTAAGTACCACCTTACAGCATTCCATAATAAAGCACATACTTAAAAGGAAACATATATACTGTAAAGTAATATTTATTTATAACATCTAGAATGTTTATATTTCGTACCAAATTCATAATTCATATTATTTTATTACATCTAAAGTTGCTGACATTTCTATAACATTGCAATACTCTATGGAGTCCTTATAAAGCTTAATGCAAACCTTTATTTCTAGGTAAAATAAACTAGGAAGCACTGGGGTAAAATTCTAGCCCCGTGGGGCTAGAAACTCACATTTACTTCGAAGGACTAGAATTCCCCTGCCGTAGTACTGTGACTTATGATCTTTAACAGCTAATGTGAATTATCAATCATAGTGAATCCATACATTTATAAACTTAATCCAACAGTTTGCTACAAACAAATTCAATTGCTGCAACTTGAGTAAAGGCCAAGTAAATAGGCAGGCAAACAATTATTAAATTACTAAATGTTCTTTGGTCTATCAATTATATTTACACACATCACATTTATATCTGCAATGACTGACAGCATATACCTTAAATCATTGGTGCCCAACATTTTGGCTCTGCAAACTGGAAGAATGGTACCAGGTCCACCCTCAGGCCACCTCCAGTCCCTGGGCCGAATTCAGCACAGGGGAATGGCCCAGCTAGGGCCTGATCCAGGGTGGTTTCAGCTGGAGCCTAATCCAATGCCTCAAATGGGGGACTGGCATGGCTAGGACCCAATCCCTCTGCATGGGAATGGACTGGGTTGGGGCCCAATCTCTCTGTGCAAGGCAGCCTCTGTGCAAGGCTGGCCTATCCGGGACATAGCCAGGACCCAATCTTTTTGCATCGCCTGTATTGGGTTGATTCAGCCATAGTAGGCTTGGAAATTTGGTGATAGGGGAGCCCTGCAAGGTGGGTGATATGACTCCACAGGCTGGATCTGGCCCATGGGCCAGGGGTTGAGCACCACAGCCTTAAATCTACTGATAGGGACACCAAAAGAGAGATTAATACTCATTCTGAAAACTGCTGATTTTAATACAGTACTTTTGGAAGATATTTTTTCAAACATGGAATGATCACTTGGTAAAGAAGTAATTTAAAAGGTCAAATTATATGACCCACTCACATACCTCACCACAGCTCTGGTTTCGGACACTTGTATTTGTAGTTCAGAAATTGCATTTGGCACATAATTGTATGAGCATTATATTTTACATTTCTTTACTTATTGTTAAGTACAGCTATTATAACCAGTGCTGTCAGATACATACAATAAAAATGAAGGCAAGATAGAGGATACGCTTTCTGAGAAGTGAAAAGATCAGAGCATGCTTGTATTATAAGAAGGAAACAAGAAGTTGCGATGATTAAGAAAGCAGGGACAAGCAAGGTTGATCTCAATGAGAAACCCTTAAAATACAGTAAGAATACCCTTTAAAGTAGTCACTTACACTGATATGGGATTGTACTGCTGGAAGTCCCAAGGTAATGTTGGGCAAAGATGGGGATGTATACAGGCTCAACAGATTCATCGATTCCTCACCAATCAGAATGTGCTGTTGTGAAACCAGAGGCTGGAACAAGAAAAAAAATATACACATAACTTCCATGCCCATATTACCTTTTTCTATTGCCCTGCTACAAAGAAAGCTACATTATTTTGGCATCCACTGAGGCATCAAATATTGGAGAAAGCTGCATCATCCTTGGGACCTACTGCTATTTCCCCAATACTAATCTGAGATTTTTGTCTTCAGATGCATATTGATACAAACCTGATTGACATCTTGAGCAATTTATCCTTCAGTATCTGTTCTCCAACCAATAAATACATTCATTCCTAAGGCTCAAACATAATTTTCCTAAGGGTTAATCATAATTTTGCCTGAGTAAGCATTTATTTATTTATTTATTTATGTCCTAATTTGTATATTTTTATATACATTAGGAGGTGAATATTCATTGGTTTCCAAGATAAATCCTGCAGTTCATACTGAATACACAGCCAATGCCACTGAACATCATTTGGGGATGCTAGAGTTACAGAGTACCACTGATATGAGCTATTTACATTAAAAGAGAAGAACTTTCTGTAATTCAACACTGTTCATTCTATGTACCATAATCCTGAGCCACTAATTGAAAGGGGATTCTTTTGGGCTATACCATTTACTAGTATAAATGGGAAAGGTTTGAGTAAAATTAATTTAGGAAAAAATGCCAGAGTTGGTCAAATAATGGTAAACGGGTATTTTAAAATCTTTACTAACAATAAAAATATGTCCCACATTATCTGGTACTAAGCCCCCCCTCTTTCAAGGTGCTTAATCTGCTTTACTGCCTCCTAATTTCAGCATCTTGCAGCAATGTGATACAGCTGTTCACTAAGTGGACATCACATTTCTGATGCAATATTTGTAATCACCCTGTAGTAGAAACAGGCTTTTTAAAATGTTTGCCCAGAGACACCCGCTTTACATTCACTGGAAAGAAGTCTAAAAAGGTACATTGTCACATGCTTATTTTCAGAGGAATCTTTTTGAAGCTTCTGTCTTTGTGCTTTAACAGTCATGTTTTTCAACGTGTGGTCTAGTAGAGTTGCTTGAATTACATTTTCTGTTTAACTCTTGCTTTCCTTACAGAACTTTTACACAATAAAAGCTACAAAGGTCTTATTAGACTTAGGAACTCTGGCATGACATGGTCCCCAAGGGAACAACATCCCTGAAAAAGAATACCCTGTGTAACAGTATGACACAGTGACTGCTTTCTTCCCAAACAAAAAGCATATGGGACTCCAATAATAGACCACCTCCAAGAGGGATACTGCACACTCGGGCTTTGACTAAAGTAAATATAATAACTTGTCAAGCATGTTGTGGGGAGTTGTAGATTTTCCTCTGGACAAACCTGGGATATCAATTAACTTTGGAAAATGCCTTGTGCTAATACAATGTGACTGTCACTGAAAAGTGGTTTAGCACAAAAATACAGGATGTTATTTCAAAACATAACCTTTCACATACAGTTTGTTTGGAGATAAGATGTATCCACTGAGACGACAAAGGTAGAAGTCTATACGTGTAATTTTTTCTTGGTGACTTGGGAATGTCAAGAAGACAGTATACAGAAGTGATAAGGGCTCTACTGAAATACAAGTAAAGGGACTGCTTTATTTGTAAAATACATTAATTTCTCAGAAACATGACACTGCCTTAAAAACATGCCATTCTGTATATTATTAAAACAATGCATGGCTAGAATACGAGGTATTATTGTGAAATGCTACAAAGATCTTACCAAATGTGATGCTATAAATCTGTAATCCTCAACCATCATCAACCTGCATTGGCTACAACAGGTACACAGTGCTACATTTTAAAAAATGAGTATTTCCTTTTCGGTTTTATGATGCTTCACTGTAAGGTTTGCATTAGGAAACAAGAACAAAAGGATAAAGTAAAACACATTCCCTTATGAACTAGGCAATGCACGACTGTTAACACTGGATCTAGCCCAGATCAGTTCTGTTCAACACATGAAACATGACAGTTATAATAATAAATTGCTATTTTTAATAAGTACATTTATACCCAAATACAAAGACAGCAGATCTCCTAAGTAGTTGCTCTCCTAAAAGAAGCAGCTGATAGTTGTTATATTAACCCCACGTTAAGATCCCTGTCCAGAAATGAATTCTACATGGACCCAGGGACCTACCTGGTTAGAGCTATCTATGTATTCAGGCAACTATTCCCCAGAGGAACTGATCCTGTTCCACTACTGCCAATACACTGAGCTAAACAGTATGTGTCCAGTAGCATCCACGTGGTGTGCCGGAGTTCCCTACTTTCTGTGCCTTTCAAAGAAATGACCCTGGGAATCTGGCTAGCTTAATTCTTAAAATGGAAGAATAGTAATTAGATATACCTATGTGTGGTCTTCCTGCCTATTTTTACCTCATCCAGGACATGTTGAGAAAAAGGAATAAGCACACACATGCAGAGGTTTTCACATGCACACATTAATGAAGGAAAAGGGACTGTTTCTTGAGGACTTGAAACCTACCAAGTTGTGAAAACAGTCCAAGATTGCCAAGGCCTTGAAAGTCCATAATGAATTAGGTTATTACTTCAGAGTACCATTTTACATTTTTTGTTTTGAGATTTAAAAATGAAAATAATTTCTTTTATGTTTGGGAAGGATTGCACAGTCATGATATACGAGCTAGAAACTTGTTAATTTTACCCTGGAAGTCTTACAAAGACAACTCCATTAAGCTGAGGATTATAAACATAATAAGAGTAGGGGCTGCATTAGAGAAAGATTTGTGTCCGTCTATGCCCCTTAAATTCAAACCTTCTGATTATATAATCATTTAAAAAAAATGCCACTGTCCAAAAATGCTGTATAACAAATGTAAATAGATTCTGTACATGCATGACCTAAATAAACCTCACTGACACCAAATGGAATATTTCTATTGGCTTCAAGAGGGCTCACATGTACATAGAAATAATCACACAAGGTTGAACTATATATCACCAAAGCAAGCTGTCCCCACTCAATTCATTGTCCCTGCAAGCAGTATTTAGCCTATGCAGAGCATGTCATTCAAAAGTGTATGGTATGCTGTAACAGATAAATAGCTGCTGCAGTAAACTTTGATACTACTGAAGACAATTGGGTCCAATAAAAACAACTTTTATTTATAAGGTGCAATTAAAATCCAGAGTTAACATTTAAGTTTCACATCATCAGAGAAAGTATTTTAACAGAGCAGACACTGAAAGCCCCACTAGAGGAACTGAGATAGCAAGGGATTATCTACAAATGTTCTTATTTACAGTGCACCTTTGTGGCCCACCAAAAAATAAAATGAATAGTTACCAGACTCCCCACTTCACATGCAAGTCACTTAAGAAGTTGTTATTTAAATGATGAAGGCAGAAAATGTTTTTTCTCATTTTTTTTTAAATCGAAGTATCATTACTGATAATTCCATAATTCTGTCTGTGCAATGGAGTGTGAACATTTACGGTACTGCCTCATGTTTTTACTGGTAAATGGCTCTTCTATCACAACAACCTGTATTTGCCCCAGAAAAAAGTGCTGTATTTTTGCCATGAAAACCACAGCTATACACCCACTCACAAGGGAACACAACACTTACTGCAAATGTCACAACAACAATTATGAAACAACAGCAGCATGAGTCATGCAGGATTACGGCAAAACAAGTGACATTTCAGATGATTTTAGAATACTCAACCTATTATTAGAAACTTCTGTACTTTATGTATCTGACAAAAATTGATTAGATAAATGGCATTTGAGAGCTGGCATCTAATGCACAAGTAGGGAAGAAACATTCAGTTGTTTGGTTACTATTAAACAATCAAATTAAATCCTACTGAAATCAAAATGTACTGATGTTGAGATCTATGGAAAAATGTTTGAGCCCGCAGGACCACAGCCTTAACAAGCAAGTAACCAGAGAGGTAAAGAAGTCTCTGATTGGAGCCAGAAATGGAAGCCAGTGGTTTCAGCTTCCAAGTCTTCTGCCAATGAGCAGAGTGACTGGCTCCAGCACATCCAGCTCAACTTTTAAAATAGCTTTTTGGGCTCATTTCAGTGCTCGTGATAGTAAGAGACTAATACCAACAATGCCAGGAATAGCAAGGGAAGATGATGTGCAATGCAGTGCTCCCTTAATACACAGAATACAGTTCCACTTCTCTAGCAGCTGCAGTCTTCCTAGATATGCCATGAACACAATGCCAGTCACATCAGACTATTTGCTTATGTGTTGGTTTAAAGATGTGAAACAATTGTACATGAACTAAAATATTCAAAGAACCAAGCACTGCAAAAATCAACTAAAAGCATTATCATTCCCTTTTGATTTTTTATAGTGGTAACTGATGTGTTCAAGCCAAGACAGTGACTAATTTGATATGATTTCCTGTGTAATTTGGCATTCATGTCTTCATATTATAACATTCTGTTCCTATACATATTTAATGAGATTAAAATATACCCATTTAATTCCACTATCTTGACAAACCTGTGATCTGATTTTAACTTTGTTGTACCTTTCTCTGCACAGTCAGTTTCCTTGCAATCCCACACGCAGGACCATGAGGCAAGACCACATGTTAGCCATCAATGCAACTTTTTTTGGGGGCGGGGGGGTGGTTCTGGGCCATAGAGAGGCTAGTAATCAGTGTGCAGAGGTCAGCCACCTGCCCCTTGGATCATAGTTCACACACACAATTAATTCATTATGGGGAAAAGTCAGGGCTGGAGGTTGAACTAGCCATTGCAGTTTTTTTGGAGGTGAATGTCCTGCCACTGACCTGGAGAAATAGCTCCATTAGCTCAAACTCTGTTAAATCACATTTCCTTATGCTATTTTTCTAATTGGCCAACAGTATAAAACAACAAACATCAGCAAGCTAGGACATCAAAACTTAAAAGTAATTATAATTATGGGCATTGGATACTCTCTCTCTCTTCATTTAACAGCATTAAATTACATGCCCATTTTGTTTATGTTGATACTGTAAAATAGAAAGCATGTAGACTGAGAGAGGAGAAGACATCATTAGTACCTCTATAGTGCTTGCCATCCAAGGACCCCAAATAACTTGAAAAAAAGTGAATGAAGCCTCATTACACATTAGCAATGGTAGGGATAGGAAAACTGAGGCACACAAAAGGGTCACAGGAAGTCTGAGAGAACAGAGCTCCTCTATGTTTAATAATGACTAGTAACCAATTTAGTTCAATAGACAGTGCAAGTTATGGCTCTCCTCATTGTAAATTAAGTTTTTCAAAAATCTGCATGTGTGAGCCTTTAGGTGTGCAGTGCATTGGGAACCTTTTTATTATATATAATATCTCTCTCTCTCTCTCTCTCACACACACACACACACACACACACATTTCCATCCACTATTTGAGGCCCTAATTAACCAAAACCCTAGACCTTGTCAAGACATTTCTGTCAGGTGCTTTAGGACTTTCCAGGACTAGCAGCATATGCTGGCTGGCCCATGAAGCAGCTAGGAATTTCCTCTTCCTTATAGCTTTAAGGACTGGCTCCTTAGTCAAATGCACAAGAAGATACCGGACACCGGACTTTAATCTTGAGTCAATATTGTCTATTTGGATCTTGGGCCACTGCGATCTTTGGACAAAACTTCAATATCTGGGAAGAAAGAAATTTCTTTGGAAAGTTTAGCAAAGGCACAGGCAGCTTCTTGATGTCCCTCTGCGATTGAGAATATTTAAAGTGGATTTAAAGGATCAATCAGTGGGTGGGCAGCAGGTGAGACATCCAGTGATAATGCTAAATGCAGTTATGTTAGGAAAACACACACACACACACGGTGGGTGGGGGGGTATACCTATGTATGTATGTATATATGGGGTGGGTGGGTGGGGTATACATACGTATGTTTGGGGGAGTGTATATATAATGTATGTATGTATGTATGCATGCACGCATTTGTGTACTGTGTATTTTTGTGCATACACACACACACACACACACACACACACACACTCTATCCATTAAGTCTGATAACTTACTCTTGTTGTTATAGTTTAATTTACAGATTCTGTCACATTTGCTCACAGTAATTAATGCATGAGTAGTCCCTAAGATGTCAATGGGACTAAATAACAGTGTTTCACCCTTCTGACAACAGCTGTGGCTGTGTCTCTGTTTCCATTTAGTTTCCTTTCACCTGTCTTCTTTTGTCCAAAACTTGGCTTGTATTTCTGACATTGTTTGTAGTAACTAGTCATTATCTCAACCTCAACATAACTAAAACAGATTTTTGATCTTCATTTCACATGTCCTCTTGTATAACTTTCTTTCCTCAATCACTGAGCAGAATCACTCTGCCTGTCAGTCCCATAACATTGACATCATCTTTTGCATGGACTTCACTTCGCCTAGGTCCTCACATCTAGGTTGTCTCAGGGTTTCCAATGACTTCTGCATAACATCTCCAAGATCTGACCTTCTCTCTCCATTCATGCAACCAAAACTCTTATCCAGGCACTTGGTGTCTTACGTCCCTTATGCTGCAACACCTTTCTCCCTGGCCTTGACAAAGACACTATTGCTTCACCTCTGCCATCACCGGAGATCTTTTCCAAAGGGCAACAGAGAGATCTTCTATGTCCTGGCTCTTTTCCAGGTATATTTGGCCATCAGTTTCCTGGTACCTCAAGGGATTCTACCTCCCTCAATTCCTCTGCTTTGAGCTGGAACAGAATACTGAAGGAGTAAGTTAATACTCAAGATAGGCAAGTCCTTTTATACAAGAGTTATTATTCCTTATTAAATCCACAGTGGACATGTTTATTCCAGAACAAGTCCATCTGTAGGCAAGCTCTAAGGCTAATAAAGCTCTAAGACTAATGAATCTAGAACTATATATACACGTCTTTGGAAGCACAAAATATTTACTGAAATATCACTTGCTCCAAGTAGAATTAAAAAACAACAGACTCTGCAAAGGCACATATCATTATTATTAACACTAACATTTAGAGATACTAGAAGTTTCACAGAATTTCATTAAGTTTATGATGCCAATATTCCTTATGGTATATCAGAAGAGTTGTGTCACTGTGCATCTTGGCACCATCTAATCTCTGCAATCTCAAACAAAAGATAGCCCCTATTTCGCGTGTTCATAACGTGATTTCCAAACAGAGCCTTTACATTCCTTTTTAGACTAAGCAATTACCTGGCCAACAAGGCTAGGGACAGAAGTTACACATAAACCAGTATAAGTGATCAGAAACTGGTTCAAAGCTGTAACACAACAGAAGTTCAGTACACATAAATCACATTCAAAGGCTAGGAACAGACGTTCAAAAAGCTGGAGCCTTAATTGATTGAATATTTGCAGGTTACTCTAACCTGCCTAGACTGAACCAGTTTGCAACTGAACAGACATTCCCTCTGGAGAGAGAAAATGTAGGCACATGTCTGCAACCGCCTAGGGTCAGGAGCTGGGGGACACTAGAACGCACCCTTGGTTGCAGGGAAGCTGGGGGGGGAGGGCGGGGGCGGGGCATGGCCAGGCCCAACAGTAGCATAAGGTGAACTGGCCAGGGAGGGGGTTTAATTCCCTGCTCCCTGTCCCATGGACCTGAGCTGGGTCTGCTGGGTGTTCCCTCCTTGCTGCTGCAGAGGCAGGGGTGCAGCCAGACACTGGCTGGCATGGCCCCCTGAGGCAGAGGGGGCAGGGAGGGGGGTTATTTCCCCTTCCACCCTCTCTACCCTCAGTGGATGGATCATATTCGACTTGGGGGGAGGTGGGTAGTGGAGTCCCTCAGGGCTCGGTCCTGGGCCCTGCGCTGTTCAATGTCTTCATCAGCGATCTTGATGTTGGGGTGGAGAGCAACCTGTTTAAATTCGCTGATGACACCAAAATTTGGGGGGAGGTGAGCACGCTAGCAGGGAGAGAGAGATTGCAGAAGGATCTGGATAGGTTACAGGGGTGGGCAGACAGGAACAGGATGCGTTTCAATACGGACAAGTGCAGGGTGCTGCACTTGGGTAGTAGGAACCAGCAGCACACTTATACGATGGGGAGCTCCCTACTTGAGAGCACGGAGGCGGAAAGGGATCTTGGTGTCATTATTGACTCCAAGATGAACATGGGCCGACAATGCGAGGTCATGGTTGGCAGGGCTAACCGGACCTTGTCGTGCATCCACAGGTGCATCTCGAGTAGAGCCAGGGAGGTGATCCTCCCCCTCTATGCGACGCTGGTCAGGCCGCAGCTGGAGTATTGTGTCCAGTTCTGTGCGCCCCATTTCAGGAGGGATGTGGACAACATGGAGAGGGTCCAGAGGAGGGCCACCCGCATGATCCGGGGACAACAGGGCAGACCCTACAGTGAGAGACTGCGGGACTTGAACCTATTCAGCCTCCACAAGAGAAGGCTGAGGGGGGACCTGGTGACCGTCTATAAACTCACTAGGGGGAACCAGAAGGGTTTGGGGGAGACGCTGTTTCCCCTAGCCCCTGCTGGCATAACAAGGAATAATGGGCACAAGTTGATGGAGAGGAGGTACAGATTGGACATCCGAAAAAACTACTTCACAGTTAGGGCGGCTAGGAGCTGGAACCAACTTCCAAGGGAGGTGGTGCTGGCCCCTACCCTGGGGATCTTTAAGAAGAGGCTGGATACTTACCTGGCTGGACTCATTTGAGTCCCGTTTTTGTTTTTAGGGTGAGTGGTTTTGTTTGTGTTTTTGGGTTGTTCTCCCGCCCTGGCGGGGGATCGGGCTAGAAGATCTATTAGGTCCCTTCCGACCCTGAAACTATGAAACTATGAAACTATGACCACAGCAGTGTCTCCCCACCCTGACTACTGCCACTTGCTCCCTGAACCAGGACAGCTGCAGGATAAGACCCCAGCAGGCCCCCACCCCTGCCTGTCCCTGCTCTAGCTAGCCCTGCAGGCCTCCACCCCTGCCAGCCCTGCTCCACTGGAGCAGAGAGCACAGCCCAGAGAACATGCCGGGATGCTGGGGGACTCTGGTTTGAACTTAAACCAGGAAGGGGTTTGGGACAGAAGTTGCATAAACCAGTTTGAGCTCAATCAGGTAAATCTGATACTATATTCAACCAGGTTTATCTCAGACTGGTTTCAGCCATTTTGAAACTCGTTTATATGCACTGAACAGCTGTTCTGTTACAAGTTTAAATCAGTTTCTGATCACTTAAACCAGTTTATGTGTAATGTCTGTCCCTAGCCAAAATGGCTGAAACCAGTTCAAGATAAATTTGGATGGATGTAGTATCAGACTTAACTGATTTAGGTTAAATCAGTTTATTGAACTTCTGTCCCAGATCCCCTCCAGTTTCAGTTAACTCATGGTCCCCCAGCACGCCAGGATGCTTTACACTTGACAGGGTGGGTGGGCTTTAGCCTAAGTTGTCTGCTCCAGTTGTGCAGGGACATTCTTTAGTGCCCCCTGGCTTCTGGCCTTAGCCACTGCAGGCATGTGGCTGCATTTCCAGAATCAAAAGAGAATGTCTATTCACATGTTTATCAGTTCAATCTACGCAGTTTAGACTAACCTGCAAAGAGTGAATTAATTTAGCCTCAGGCTTTTTGACTGTCTGTACTTAGCTCAATAGGATCAAGAATGTTATTTTTACCTCAGCTTGAGAATTAGGTGGCAAAACTGATGTTTCATTTTCCATTACACTTCCAGTAGGGCCATTGCTTGGTGAGCTTGGACCTGATCCTGGAGAACTGCTACTGACTGAGGACTCTGAAAAACAGATGAAGCAGATATGTAACCAGGGTTAAATTAGATATGTCCAGCTGTGCTCATGATAAACATTCTATGCTTCCTTCAGCATACATATGAAGAATGCTGAACCTATACTGAATGGAGCATTCAATTCATTTCTAAGGGAGACCAGTTGTTTAGCCACTTAAAACAGACAGATATTCTTGTTCTTTTCCCTCTTGACACCTCTGGTGCACAAAGGGTGAATTTATTACTTGACTTTTCTGCAAAGATGGCACATAACTCAGTGGCAAGCAAACAGAACTGCTAATGAGTAAAAAGAAAAGGAAGCACTTTTTATTGCATAGTCTCCTGCCTCAGAGAGATCAAAATGACAGATAGTAGATTTGCAAAGGTCAAAATAACATGTCATCAATTCATGAGGCCTACTGCCATTCCTTTGCTATTTGGAAAGGGCCGTGAAGTATTCTGTTGTGAACTAACCTTTATCTGTGCAACCAATAAAAAACAATACACCATTTACAATATACCTCTGTCAGCAAAGTATGAGGAAATACTTGCAGCATGCAAAATCTTAAAACAGCATTTTGAGGACTCTGTTTTAGTCTGTCCTGGTTTAAAGTACCTAGGAGCTTTGGTCAAGATGAAGGGTAGTGAGACGACTTACTAGGTCTTTGTCAATCTAACTTCTTTAAGTCTATATTGATTAAAATGAGAGTTTTGTGTACTGAACAAAGAAAAAGATAACAAGAAATAATTAATATTGCCATTATACAAACTGTGCATCAGAAAATTTAAATAATTTCAGTTAGCCAGCAATCACTAGCCAAACTGGACATTTTTAGATATCGCCAACTCTATATTCTCTACGTTCTGTACCCACTTGCAATTTACTCCCCGCTCTTACTGTCACTGAGATAATGCGAGTTATACTAGTGGGTTTTAAGACTCTCTTCTGTTTCAGTTCCAACTAGAATACATTTCTGCAATTCACTGTCATGAGTCAATACACTAATAATGTACATCTAGGCAAGATATGTTTTTGCAAAGAAACTTTTCAGCTTTTCATACAAAAAATGCAAACCTCCAAAATGATAATTCTCATTTTCCCATTTCTGGAACTGTTATTATTGTTTGATTTCTTTCAAAAGAAAAGCTTTGTCAGGAAAAGTCTGATCACCTGTACTTTTAAATCACTGGACAAAATGTACAAAACACAGTGAAACAAATCACACCAATGACAATCAGTAAAAAACAAACAAACCAATGAATCCAGGGAAACTATTTTCTGGTGTAAGGAATCACTGTGAGTAAGCCAGCATCAGAGACAACAACAGAATACAAGTTTCCTTTCCTTTCCTACTTCTACTTTAACTATGGCAAATGGTAAAGCTATCCTGTTAAAATAATTAGTATTTTATTTTGCATCTAAATTGTGAGCGTACACATCATAGAAAGGAATGGGCCATCCTAGAAATGAATAGGAAATGAAGATTTTGACAATAGATAGCAACTGGTAGATCCCCAACAACTTGAACAGTGGCATTTATATCACTAGCAGTGAAATAATTTGAAAATATCTGAGCCTAATAGCAGATTTTTTTAATGGAAAACACTGTAGCTGTTCCACAAATTTTTAAAAAAAGGAAATATTCTTCACCTGGATCATAACCCTGAAGCCTGAAGACACACGGGCAGAGAAATGCCCTGAAAACTACATATGCGAGACTGAACAGAATGTGTTAATACTGTACTTTGTGTGCTATGCCTACAGGGTGAGCACTGAGCAGTACCAGGTCAGCTGTATAGATAAATGGCCTGGCACCATTTTTTTCTATTGAGTCAATGGAACAAGCACCAAAAGCATTCTACCCCTGTGCATTCAAGATGACTCAGTATCATATGCTTGTAGAGGGTATAATTCAAGACAAAAAGTTTAGTAAAAATTCTTCAGTAAAACGTAAAAAATGGCTCAACAATGCCAAACATATTACCACTTTAGGTATTAATATCATATGCATGTTTGCTATCCAAGGACAACTGCCCTCTCATTCACTACGTTCATATGCATAGAAATTAATTCAAAACAATTTTAATTAACTTCAAAGCTTTCACTTTGTGGGTTGGTTTTTTTTCTCACCCCCACCCAGTAGGAATTTTTTTCTTAACTGTTAAATATTTCTTCTAATTAACAACAGTCTTGTCTGCTATGACTGAAAATACATCACTAAATATTTAAACAGGTCTGTATATCACAGAATAACTTGGTGAGCTCTTAAATCAAAAACAAGTAAGGCTGACATTTTCAAACAGAGTTATCAGTAGGAGTGGTCAACCATATGATTTCAAAAGGGCTCTTGGTTACCCTGAATTCAAGTAGTTTCTTTCAAAGACTTCAGACTTCATATATGAGATCCATGCAGCAGAGAAATATATTCCTTTGAAATCAGGTGAAGATTTTTCTAAATGGGCAGAGAAGCAAGACAAGCAGTTCTCATCTTTTGCCTTTAGTCCAAGCCATGCACATATGGCTTTAAATTCCTCATAATCTCCCATTTCAAGGCAAAACATCCAACACAGAGAAATGTGTTCTAAAAGAACCAGGTTACATTTTCTAGTCTGCTCATCATAACAGAAACTTAGTTGTTATGACAAAGAAAAAATAGTGCTATAGGATAATTGGAAATTAGAGGGAAAGCCTTTTCTCACAGTATATCTCCCAGTTCTCCAGGAAACCCGGGAGGCTAATAAACAGGTGAAATTTCATTGTCTTCAGTGGAATAGTATTCAGAGGTATTAGCCTTCTTCAAAGTCTTGGTGCTATTTGCAATTCCTACACTACAGGTCTCACTCAAGACCACTCACTCTTCAGCAGCAGCTGCTAGTGAACTGAAGTCCAGTTCTTTTAACTGCTGCTAGTCTTCTACCTCCTTTCTTTTACAAAGGGCTGCTTCTAAGGTACTGAATACATCCTACATTTTTCAACTGCCAATGCCTCTGGAATGTCTATACTACTAGCTCCGAGTGTTTGAGACTGGACTGTAGAAATGACTACCTCGGACTGCACTGTAGTCTCCCTCTTCACTTGGGGCACTGACAGACATGCAGCTCTCTGGTCTAACTCATGGCACTTCACAAAAAGCACCATGAGTTAGACTGACCCTCCTGACCCAACAGACATTTGCAGTTGGATTGGGAGGGTGGAAGATTGAGCTCCACTTTGGAGCCAATCCAGTGAGAGAGGCTGTGCCTCTGCAACCTCTTTCTCTATCTCCACTCCCCCCTCTCCCAGCTCCAATGCTGTCTCAGCATGGGCGGGAGATCTGTTCTGGGGTTTGCCCAGCCTGCACTGGAGTGTGTGTGTGGGGGGGGGGGGGGGGGGATCAGGGGGATTGGAGCCCTCCCCAGCTCACACACACACACCACCCTCTGGCACAGGCTGGGCAAACCCCAATCAGAACTCCCTCCCTCGCTCCCATCCTGAAGACAGCACTGGGGTGGGTCTAGGAGCTGCTTCAGCTGAGCCATGCTCTCACCATGGGATGACACAAGTTAATGAAGGCACTCCACTTGGAAGCACCTTCATCTGAACCCTCAAGTTATGAAGGTTCATTTGTTGTGTGATTGGACACTTTTTAAAGTGCTCTGCAGTTGTGCACTTCTGCCAGGGCACGGCTGTAGAGCACTTTCAGTGGCTGATCATGTGACAAAACATCACTTCTGTTAGTGCCCTTAATGATTGATTGATTGATTGAATGCATGCATGTACATGTGTGTATATACTGAAGACTGCGTCTCCATGAAAGCATGCAACTTTACATATAAAGTGGGGATACTGGTGCAGTTTCAATTAGTGCCTGAAAGCACCTTCAAATATTGTTGCACTGTTGTGGCATCTGTTTACATCACATCCAAATACTTGTCCATGGAATTTTTTATGGTATTAGAAGCTGTGTATAAATATATAATTATACATACATATATATACATATATACACACATACACACACATGTATGTATGTATGTGTATGTATACACACACACACACACACACACACACACACACATATAATATATATATATATTAAAATATAATTCTATTATATATATATTTATCTTTATATATATATATATATAAAGATATAATTGCTTTGGCTTTTTCCCAAAACACGAAGTTTTTCCAAAAATTTAGTGAAACTTTCCATCTGATACTATAGATAACGTATGTGTTTTGCATAGTCAGCAACATGACACCATTATTTCTGCATTTCTTAGACAGGCATTGATTAAACGTTAACTCTGATCCTGTTGGCTGGAAGAGCTCAGGAAAAAGCACTGTTGCAATTAATATTCTATCTTGTGCCTGATTTAGTTCTGGAGAGCATTCTTATTCAGAACAGTATTCAGCAGTATTAAAACTCATTGAAGTCAATCAGATTTAAGCATGTGCTCAAGTGCTTTCCTGGATCAGGGCCATAATGGGCTTCAAAGCTGTCTGCAGACTTGTTAAATTAGGGCTCAGGTTTCTCAGAATCCGTATGCTGTTCATACCCCACATTCCTAAATGTCTTTGCTTTTCCCTGAAGACATTAAGTTGAATTTAACAGTCCCTACTTAGCTTGCAATACGACAAGTGCTATTCATTCATTCATCTGTCCATTTCCTATTCAACTTCAGAGATTGAAATTCTTGTTAAAAGTAGCTATTTTAATTCTGTTTTTCTGATAATCAATCTTAAACTATCAAGTGTTTAAACAGTATGAGTGTTTTCTTGCCTTTTCAATTTGTCTTGTCTTTTGGATAAGGCTTGAGCTCATTCCTTCTTCCTTATCCTTTATGAATAGCATTTCCTTTTTTGGTTTTTATTTTAGTTTTGCTGCTACTAGAAAACAAAGGGCCCTGTATGACACTTACTACATGCTAAATGCATGCATTCTTGAAGTTAGGATACATTCTGAGCAGTCTAATGGTAATGTATACTACAATCTAACATGCATAGCTCGTTGATTTTTGGTTCTAGCTCCTGTGCAGTGCTGGGACTGCGGGCACCTGGCTTTCAACTTTATCCTGGAGGAACCTGTCAAGTGAAAGGTCCAGGATCATTCTTCCTGACATGTCTGGCTTTCCTCATCCCATCTAGAGGCTTGGTAAAGTAGACAGGTCCCTGGTTGACGTCACAGCTGGGTGAGGACCACAAACTGCTTGTATTATCTCCATGGAGCAGTCTGACAATAAGGACACCTGTTATCTATTATGATCTGGAGATATTCCTTGTGCAAAAAAAAGTCATAACTTTCCACAATATGAGCACACTTGGTATCTGTTTTACTGCTTGAATGCAGGGTCACTTGTGTTTTAAGTGCATTGAATGTATGCTAAGTCTAACATACTACATGGCCCATGCTGTTGTAGAGCCTATGTGAAGAGCATGGACATTCTCTGCAGAGAGGTAAATGAGACTGATCTGAGGGCTAGCAATGAACTGGTCAAATTTGACTATAAACAAAATGATGTCGGACATCCAAAAGAAAGACTAGGAAAGAAAATATATTTTCCCCCTTTTGATCTCTTTCTGTTCCACAACTCTACGAATGGCTTGCTTTTGTACTTACTATTGCAATGAAAAATGTTCAAATGGAAGTATGAGTCTCAGGTTGACAGTGTCCTTTTAATAAGAGAATAAAGAACAGAATCTTGTGAGTTCTTATACCTTTAATATAGTTTTAATTTTGACAGAGAAACTCCTTCCAAGCTTTTGTTTGATGCTCAATTATGTTTCTAGTAAACTACTTTTTGAGGCTTCTGAACATGTCTGCTGATGGCAGCAGTTAAGACAGAATCTCTTTAATTCTTATTTACCTGTCACCTCAAACAGTCTCTTCTTGAATGAGCTGACAACATTTCCATCCTTCCTCCTCAGTAAGGGGCTACTTCTCCTTTCTGTCACCTTCTGTTTTAATCTGGAACGCACCTTCAAGTTGGGCTCTGAGGCTGGGAATCAAGGGAAGAAAATATATCATTAACAATTAAAAAGCTGTTTACCCAGCAGTGCTGTCTTCCCTTTAGTGTGCTCTACCCTGAGCTCCTACTTGGCCAGAGGAAGAGAGAGAAGGGACGGAGGACTGGAGAGAAAAAGCAGCAAAGCGGAGGAGGCCCCCTCTACCTTTTCTATCAAAGTTTTTCAGGGACTGAGGCAGGGTGGAACAGGATTACACTTAGGCAACTAATAGTTAGCCCTTATAATTAACTGGGTGAAATTAGAATCTACAACTCCACACAATTATGCAATACCAAGGCAGATAGGATTGACAATATTTTCTGCAGGCCTATCAAACAGATTTAGTTACTAATATGCTGTTTTGCTATTAGACCTGCTTAGGAGCCAGGAAAAGCCTTATCTTACAGTATTTTTACATCTCTTATAGGTGAAAACTGATAACAGTATACTTAGAAACCCCATTTGCATTTAGATTTTAGTTTGATGGTGGAAACAGGAAGAATTTTCTGTTAGTGCCTTTTGATATTTTACAGAAATATAACTTATGTCAGAACATATTGGCTGAATATTTCTTAGTCAGCAGTTCAGAGCCTGAAACCTTACTTTCTTAATAACTGCACCAAAACAAACAGATTTATTACAGTATCTAGAGAACATTTAAATCCAGAGAACATGAAAATATAAGCTTAGCCTGAAAAAAAGAAATAGGATCGAATCCCAGAAATCCTAGGATTATATTTAATGCATCTTGGACAACTTCCATCTCCTTTTTCATTTACTAAGTAGGCACAGTCTTTAAATGTGAACATTAGAGACCAAGTTTTGTCAAGCATATTGTTTTTGTCACTTCTGTATGAAAAAAAAAATCCTTTGCCCATTTGTCTGTTCTACTAGGTAAAACTCTATTAACAGATGGTTAATGACAGTTAAGTTCAAGGTAGAACTTGTTTATATTTCCCTGTCTGGCCACAAATCTTGGCTCATCAATATCTCAAGCTGTACAGAGCTGGAAACTGGGATCAGTTTCCTCTCTCTCACTTCCACGCACATGCACAGATGGACAAAATAGGAAGAGGGCGAAATCCTAGATCCATTGAAGACTTCTAACTTCAAACCTGTCTTTTTGTGCAATATGAACACAATTGTTTCCTCCTGTCTCATTTTTTTACTATGCGGACATTAGCATTGCCTGAGACAGAGCTAAGGGGTAGCCAAGAACATAGTGAATTTAAGTTGCTCCAAGAGTGCTACAAAATATTCTGTGAATTTTGAGGCAGTTGGATTTGCAGTGCCTCCTGCCTGCCTTTGTCATGCCTGTTCCTACTTGCAGAAAGCTGGGTGGCTGTATTTCTGAACTGTTTTCAGAGGAATATCTATGTAGATGTATGTATGCTCTGACCAGGAATCTTACCTAGTTATAATTTCTTTCGGAAGTGAAGTTAATCAGCTATTGTACTGACTCAGGTTTCAGTTAGGGTTCATTCTATTTATAATTCTCTATACTCCCAAGCTGTAGGAGAAGACTTCCATATCAGTGACTGAATAATGCAATGTAAATCCTCTGGGCTCAGAGAAAGAGCTCTTCAGCATCCACTGGGGACAAGTTCCACTTGTATATGAATGTGTTTCGTGCCCAGTTACACTGATTGCATTTCTATTTTTACCACATTCCCATCACACTCTGCATTTCAATCAATCCAAACAGAGAAGGCAGTCTTTTATGTGGATGTCTGAATTTATATGCCAGCTGAGAGGATAACCCTTGCATAAAAGATGAAGGATCATTATTTAAATGAAAACAATTAATTTTAAAATGAAAAGGAGGGGGGTGTGCGAAACCCACAGGTTTTCAATGCTTTAAATGAGACAAAAAGTAAAGCTTTGAGGACTATGAAGTTTAGACTTGCTCCAATATTCTGCATGAGATGCAGTCAGATGAGAGTACTGCATCAAACAGGACTCTTGCTAGTGAGAGCTGAAAACTGAGACTTCAGTGAATTAAATATATATGTATAATTATTGTGTATGGTCTGATGCTTACAGCACAGGATTGGGAAACAGGATTTCTAGCTTCTAATCGTGGCTCAGCCACTGACTCTTAGAGAAGTCACAGGGTGAAAAATTGAAGTCTATGAAGTCTATGACAGAACCCATATATTTCAACAGCATTTCTCCAACAAACTTATATATCTCAGTTTATGTACAGAATGACAGTTATAGTTATATTTCATTCTCAGCTATTTTCTGACTATTAATAGACACTCCCTGGTAATTTGCAGTCCAATTATAGGTTTTATTATTATTCTTCTGTTTAAAAAAAAAGTTTTTCAAAGCTCAATATGACTATAAACAATGTACTGAATTCAAATTATTTTAATGAAGAAGTTATTATTTAATGAAGAAAATATTTTAACTAAAAGAAATGCAAACGAGTAAACAGCATAGAGGAAATTAAATTATATTTGCAAATGCTTTAACTCTGAAATTCTTAACTAATAAGGATTTTTTTAAAAACTAAACTGTGTAATTAATATCTCTATAAGAACTCAAATGAAGTTGCCAAATAAATTATTTTTAAAATTCTGGACTAGATTTTAAAAGAATATTTAGCTTGATGTTTTAAGTCCTGGTTTGTAGTGTTTTTCTCTACAGGGAAATACCTTGGGATTAGCTTTCTGTGCACACTCCTGGTCCAGTTTAGGAAAACTAGTTTAACCTAATCTACTTTGGAAATGGATTCAGCTAAAATGCCCAATGGTTTTGTTAGCTCAAAATAAGAATGTCTACAGGGGAACATAGTGGAATGCTGTAAATACAGTACACTCTCAGTTATCAGAACAGCATGCTGATCACTGCATTTTGACTTAATGCTAACATATTTACTCATATATAAGATAAGGTTTTTCCTCCAATCAACATAGGGGAAAAAATCCCCTCATCTTACATTTGCATGCAAGAAAACCTGACAAAAAACACTGTCCGTCATTAAACTGCTGCCAAAAGCAGCATGTGCTCAGTAATAGAAACCAACTATAAAGAGGGACCTATTCAATTTGCAATTTTGAGGAAATAACAAATCAAGCTATCTCCACAAAATCTGCAGGGGGGGGATTTACTAAAAATAAAGTGCTGGCTTCACAGTCCTCCCAGCAGCACAGCCCAGAATTAAAAGGGCTGCCAACAGGAAAGTGAGCAGGCAAGATGGCTGTGACCCCTGTCCCTCACCAGTGATTGGCTAAGAGGGTTGCCTGTCAAATGGCTCCATCCCTCTCCACCAACCAGTGGTGAAGGGAGGGGCCACATGGACAGCCCTTAGCCAATCTGTAATGATGGGCAGGGCCATATGATGGACACCAGTCAGTGGTGGGAGCAGGGCCACCAATGTCTATTGGGCAATTGGAGGTATGGGGGGGGGGGGGCAGCCATGATCAGCCCATGAAAATGGCAGCCAGCCCCGTGATCTGCCTGTGAAATTGTCCAGCCACTGCCTTGAGTTGGGTAGACCCCTGACTGTAAAGTTAATTAAATGCACCCAACACTGACCATGACTATAAAACACATAGCCCATATGTGGAACCCACAAGAATAGGTTAATTTAACCTATCTGAATAAGACCTATGGTAGTGCCTACTGTGCTCAGAGTCAACACTGAGAAGGAATTTTTCAAGTCATGGTGAGCCACTACATTGAATACATTTTTACTTCCTCTTCCCAGAGTTAAGCTGCACCTTTCTTTCCCATTCCCAATGAGTCCTGCTTTTTACCAGCCATAAATATCTATCAAACATCAGTGAACTTCCAGTGCCTAAAGACTGGAAGAAGGCCAATGTGGTGCCTATCTTCAAGAAAGGGAGGAAAGTGGATCCGGCTAACTATAGGCCCATCAGCCTGACTTCTATCCCGGGGAAGATCTTAGAAAAGTTTATTAAAGAGGCCATCCTTAAGGGACTGGCC